ATGAAATGTAGTATTAAGTTTATCGCTTTTACGATATATAAGATAAGCACTTGGTCTAAACAAACAGGTTATTAATTTTGAGGCTTGTAAGTACGAAATATGGATGAGGACAAAACATTGGTCTTGACAATGTTGCGCTAGTTGTTCGCGAAAACCAACACCCAGGAACTACTCCCTACTCACAATATTTGATTTGAAGCTGCTGCAGCAGACGTTTTATTAGCCTTTTACTACAAATCGGTAACTTCTTTCAGCATCCAAAATGAAATTGAGGCATGGACTCTGCGTATGTGTGGAGGACTGTGAATGCATGTGTGAACCTGTCCTCGCACCTACTTGCTTCCCCCAAAACTCACGCTTGCGTGGGAAGTCACTTCTCTCCAATTTTGGAAATTTGAATTGCCTGACTGAAGCTAACTCCCTCCAAATTGCACTTAATTAATTCCCTTTCCTTCTTTATATTCAATCTATCAGTTTCTTAGCTAAACAAAATCTTAAAACTGCCAGGCTCATTATCTACTCGTTTTAAATTTTAACTGATCATGCGGCGGTAAATATCAAGATATTGGAATTAATTAAAAAAAAAAAAGACCCGGACGTCATTTTTGATACTGTTCATATATTTCTGATTATATTTATCAATCGTGTCGTGGTACCTGCTCTGATTTTTGAATCAATTAGTTTAAGAGATGTAAAAATTAATTTATGAAGTTTATTAAAGTATTTATAGAAGGGACAACACAATAATCCATCTTTATAGCTTTATCAAGTTTTATTTTTATTCTTTATAGTTTTTTAGTGTTTTTAATTTTTATAGTTTTAATAAGATAAGTGACATTTGTTACTCATGTTCTTATAGTTTTAATGTTTTTATTTCATACAAGAACTGAAAAAAATTAAAAATAATTAAAAATAAAATTTAATAAAACTACGTTTGCTAATGATTTTATTTTCCCTCTCTATAGAATATTACTTTTTTTATGAACTTCAAATCAATGTACATAATTAAATTTGACTTAGGCCGTGAAACGGTATCAATTAAATGAAATTTAATTATTTAAATTCAACAACTTGTGGTTGGTAAAAAAATGCAACAACTTATAATATTTATTATAATAATTTTAAAATTTTCTTCATAATGTAGTCGCACCTTTTGAAACTTAATAATAACGGGGTACGGCCATCTGCCCAGTCCAGCGAATCAGACCACACAGTGATGCCAATTTGCAAAGTTCAACCTTCCCTGTAACCCAAAAAAAAAAAAAAAAAATCCCCAACACTGTCGGCACGAATTCCCGTTAGGTGGAAATATCTCAAGCAATAAAAGAATATTTCAAAAATATCGCAAAGTCAAAAAGAAGAGATAAAATAGGACCCTGCCTAATTAATTAAGCAGGGCATTTGGGACTAGGCCTTCCCCAGATCAACCCAAGGTTTGTTGCACGTGTCATGCGAAGCCTGCAACAACGTATTAATGATTTCTTTGGTGAGCCATCCAACTGTCTCACTTCAGGAGAGGAAGGAAAATAGCATGCAGAAAGTCGTTTGCTTTCTCCAACTCCAATGAGTGTCAATCAAGGCTTTTGCTTTGGTCAAGATTCTAGAAATTTCTAGGATAATCATTCATGAAAGAATAGAATTATATTGAAGGAATGATATTAAGGACATTAAAAAATAAGATTTTTGCAGATAAGGTTTAAGAAATTTTAAAATTATTTTGAGAGCTTAAAGATTTCATTTGTAATCATATTTTTTAATGAAATGATTAATTTGTTCTTTTCATAACCAGCTGCTAAATAAAAAATATTTTTTCTTCCTCCATTCTTCCTCACCCGTCCTTCTCTCTCTCTCTTTCAACACTGATACAATAATCAAATTTATTTTTCTCCTCGTCATGCTTCTCTATTCCTTCTTTTCTTCTTCCTCCTTCTTCCTTCTTTCTCTCATTTGAAGATTTTTCATTCAACAAGTATGAGTGGGCAGTTCACGTTTATCCAGATAGGTATGAAGAAGACAATAAGGTGTTTGTACGATTACATTCTTCTCACGCCAATCAGCTTTTTAAAATGATTCGTCATATTGTGAAAAGAATTGATGAAGTGTTGCATTTGCTATTATCAGTTTTATTTTGTCAAAAAATAATATAGAGAGAATTTGAACCATATCAGTTTTATCTAATCATAGTGTACTTGCGTTTGCGTTCATTTAATGAAAATAAGTTGTTATTTATAGATTTTTGTTGTTTCTGATACATATTTTTTTTACAACTGATATAAATGTTCTGATTTAGATGTTATTTATGAAATTTATGTTGTTATTTATGAAGTTTACGTTGTGCAAACTTTACAATTAATTTGTGTTAATATTTATGTGTATCATATCAACAAACCTTGTATTATAAATATATGGACATTATGTTGTTAGCAAATGAATACTTTCATGTTATATATGAACCTTTTGTTCTTCATTAACTTCAGAAACTTTTTCAAATGTTCAGTTTAATCACATAAATCACGTAAAATAGATAGACATTATATTGTCAATAAATAGACCTTGTCATGTTATATATAGACTTTTAATTGTTCATAAACTTGAGAAACTTTTTGTTAAGCTTAGTCAACTGATAAACTAGACACACATGGACTTTCAGTTTAGAATATATGAAGATTGTGTTGTATATGGTGGATATTGTGTTGTGCATTGTTTGCTTTATATTATGCATAGTGGATATTATGTCATGCATTATTTGTCTATTTGCGCATTTTAAGCCTAGCCTACTGATAAAGTAGAATCATGTGGACTTTTAGTTGAGAATATATGAACCTTAAGTTGTGCATAGTGGATATTGTGTTGTATATTATTTGCTTACTTTTACATTTTATCAAGTCTAACCCATTGATAAAGTAGAATCTTATAGACTTTTAGTTGAGAATAAATGAACTTTATATTATGCATAATGAAAATTGTGTTATGCATTGTTTACCTATTTGTGCATTTTGTTAAGCATAGTATACTAATAAAAAAGAATCGTATGGACTTTTAGTTGAGAATATATGAATTTTAAGTTATGCATAGTGGATATTGTGTTGTGCATTGTTTGCTTACATCTGCATTTTGTCAAGCCTAGCCTACTGGTAAAGTAGAATCTTATGGATTTTTAATTAAAAATAAATAAACCTTATATTATGTATAGTGAATATTGTATCATACATTATTTACCTAATTTTAGTATTTTGTTAAGCCTAGCATAGTGATAAATTGAAATCATATGGACTTTCAGGTGAAAATATATCACAAATTTTTTTTCTCGCAATTGTCTTTGACTAGCCGTCCTTCCGGAAGGCCATAAATAAAGAGGATAAAGTCTTTCAAGATAAAAAAATTTATTATTGTTCAAAATGCGGGAAGGCTAGACACAGTAGCAAGACATGCAAGAATCATAACCCAGTATGAAGAGTGATTACATTGTACTTATTTGGTGTGCATGAGCAACAATAATTATATATATGAAAGCATTTTCAAATAATATTTTTTGAGTAAGTAGGAATCACAAATATTTTTTATTTGTATATGTAGAAACAATTGTTAGATATTTTGGATATATTGGCTAACTTTTTGTATATATCAAACTTAAAATACTATATCAAATTTCATATGGGTACTTGTTTTAGTACCTAGGCTAATACCAACATGAAATTATTCATATATGATGTAATTGTCCTTCTTAATAGTGAAAATGCATAGACTTTCTAACGAGCATGCGTGGACATCGTCTTGTGCATAATGAATATTGTGTCGTGTATGGTTTGCCTAATGTCATTTTGTTATAACCTAAGCTAGTGAAATATTGAAAATGTATGAATTTTTTGTTCAGCATATATGGACATCGTATTATGCATAGTAGATATTGTGTCGTGCATGGTCTGCCTAGTCATTTTTGCTAAAGCCAGGGCTAGTGAAATACTTAAAATGTATGAACTTTCTGTTGAAATGCGTGGACATTGTCTTGTGCATAATGGATGTTATATCATGCATGATTTATTTCGTTGTTTTGAAAGTTCGTACAAGTTCTAAACTCAAATCAAATAAAGGGCAAAATTATACTTTTGGTCTCAAAAAAATTGACAATGAGGGCTTTAAAACTTGCAGAGAAATATTAAATTCATTTAAATTTAAATTATAATAAAGTATATTTTTAAAGCTTTTAATACCATTCCTCCAATTATACTTATACCCATTATAGGTGGGGGAACCCTCCTAGTCTTCGATTTTTTTTTTAAGAAAAAAAATTGCAATCACTGTTTTGTTTTGTTTTTTTTTTACTTGTACAGAAATCATTGGCGAAACTACCAGCAATGTCTACATATGTACTAAAATATCAAACACTTTAATAAAAATAAAATTTTATTAATAAATTTTTTTAAAATTATTATATATATATTTTTAATATTTTTATATTAATAAAATATTAAATAAAAAATATTTTTAAAAATTTATTTTTTTATCTTAAAAAAATGAAGATAAAAAATATATTTAATAAATTTTATTAATATATAAAATTTTATTTAAAAATATTTTATAATTTTAAATAAAAATATTATATATAACTCAGCTGTATCTGAAAAATAATAATTCCACCGTCTTTAACTGAAAAGTTTGATAGTCAAGGAATCCTAACTTTTCACTCAAAGACTCCCAATATTAATTGTGAGAAATTCTACAGGCGCATAGCCACATCACACAATTTCTGTCAGGCAAGAAATAAAATTTTCCTTTTTCCTAAAAAAATCACAGAATTTTTCGTTAATGGTTCCATAGATTGATTTAAAAAGACACCGCCACAACCTTTTCGCTCGACGCTTTACACATAAAATGATAAAAAATATAAGTATTTTTATTAAAAATACATTCATAAATTAAACAAAGATAAATGATAAAATATTAACGATTCGTATTTTCTTCCAATAGGCTTCCCAGCCACATTAGCAGAAGAAAGAAAGTGAAGAACAATAACCTTGGCGCTCCTCCTTCCAAGAAAATAGAAACACTGTGTTTTCCGTGCAAGCCCAGTCAAAGTTCGATCCCTATTTCCACACTAAACCATCTAGAGAACGAGCCACAGTAACCTCATCGCCGTCAATGGAGGAGCGTCATACTCTGTTTGGACGCTATGAAATCGGAAGGCTTCTGGGGAAAGGGACGTTCGCTAAAGTCTATCATGGCAAGCGAATGTCGACGGGCGAGAGCGTTGCGATCAAAGTGATGAGCAAAAACAAAGTGCAGGGACAAGGGATGATGGAGCAGATCAAGCGCGAGGTCTCCGTCATGCGTTTGGTTCGACACCCCAACGTTGTTGAACTCCAAGAAGTCATGGCCACCAAAACTAAGATCTTCTTCGTAATGGAGTATGTTCGTGGAGGCGAGCTCTTCCACAAGGTCGCCAGAGGCAAACTCAGAGAGGATCAAGCACGAAAGTACTTCCAACAGTTGATCGGCGCCGTCGATTTTTGTCACAGCAGGGGCGTCTCTCACAGAGACCTCAAGCCTGAGAATTTATTACTCGATGACAACCTCAAAGTCTCCGACTTTGGCCTCTCGGCGTTGCCGGAACACCTCCGGTACGACGGCCTCCTCCACACCCAGTGCGGAACTCCGGCGTATGTTGCCCCTGAAGTTTTGAGAAAGAAAGGATACGACGGATCCAAAGCTGATATTTGGTCCTGCGGGGTGATTCTTTACACATTATTGGCTGGATTTCTTCCGTTTCGACATGAAAACGTCATGACGATGTACACCAAGATCTTCAAAGCTGAATTCCAGTTTCCTCCGTGGTTTTCTGCGGAATCAAGGGGATTGATTTCCAAGATTCTCGTACCAGACCCAGAAAGTCGAATCACGATTCCTGCAATAATGCGGGTCCCCTGGTTTCAAAAGGGATTTTCGATCCCATCAGCGTTTCATTCAGCGGAACTCACTTCGAACAGAGCCGTTGAAGAAGACTCCAGAACCAAGCTGCTTCCATCATCCCCTGAGTTTTTCAATGCGTTCGAGTTTATTTCTTCAATGTCTTCCGGGTTTGATTTGTCTGGGTTGTTCGAGAACAAGAGGAAGACCGGGTCAATGTTCACTTCCAAGTTCTCGGCGGCGGCGATTATGTTGAAGATGGAGACGATGGCAGAGAGGTTAAGGTTCAAGACGGCAAAGGTGAAGGGCTTCAAAATAAAGCTGGAAGGGCGGTCGGAGGGGAGGAAAGGGAGATTGCAGGTGACGGCGGAGGTGTTCGAGGTGGCGCCGGAACTCGCTGTGGTGGAGTTTTCAAAGTGTTCCGGCGACACTTTGGAATATACCAAGTTTTGCGAGGAAGATGTGAGGACGGCGCTGACAGACATTGTTTGGACGTGGCAAGGGGACAACACGTGTAACAGTAGCATCGGAGAGGGCGCGGGAAGTCAAACGATGGAGCGAGTAATATAAATACACTTCCCTCCCGATTCTGACTCCGTTTGAAACTTAGCTAGAGTTTTCGTGACACCAGTAGTCCCTGAATGTAAGCTAAAGTTTATATAACAAAACAAAACGGGTTTGTGTGGCGTAATGCTTTCTTATCATTAATTTTCCTCGCACGCAACATTTAAACATGTTGACTCAAATATTTGTAATTTTATATAATTATTTTTATACATTATTTTGATATAAATTTATTATATTCTTATTTGATATTTTAAAAAATATTTATTATTATTATTTAAAATAATATTTTTAATTAATAAGAAGCTCTCTCTCTTTCTCTCTATATATATGTATATCTTATAAAGGTGTCAATTAAAGTCGATCATTAAAGGGTCAGAATTTAAATGAGTTGATCTTATAAAATTTGATTATACTTTAAGGTTTCCAGCTCGATCTTGACTCTCAAAGCCTCTACCCTATATTTTTTAAAATTTTAAGTTTAAAAATATATATTTAAAATCTAAAAAGTGTCATTACACGTAATATTAAATCTATAAAAAAAATTTAAGTTAATAACATAATAACAAATTTAAGTTTAATGAAAACATCACTACAAAATTAACATCGATAAGAATCAGACTTTGCTAGCATTATCTACAAAATCTTGATGATTTTTACTACCATTAACATTAATATAATTTTATCCTTCTCTTTGTGAAATCTCAATAGTGATAAAGATATTAAATTTTTTTTCACATTCCTTATTCATCCATGTGAAATAAGGCTAGAGTTTTAGAATTAATGTAGTATTTAATTTTTTTAATATTAAAATTTAAAAAATTATAAATAGCTTAAAAGAGTCGGTCTTAACTTAAAGGGCCAACCCTTCTATTTTAGAGCTTAAAAGGGATCTTTTTAAACTTAAATTATCATTTTGTACTCTAAAATAGTGACCTTTTGAGCTTAAAACGGTCTGCCTAACATATTCAACTCTAATTGACAATTTTAATATCTTGTCTCTTCATTTTTCACAATAGAGATGATTATTATAATCTTCATTTTTCATAGTGAAATTAATCACTTGTTGCTCGTGGATTTTTTATCCCTCAAATTAGGAGTTTTTTCATGTTAAATTTCTTGTGCCATCTTTTATTATTTTTTCTAACTTCTTTATAATTTTTAATTATTTTTTTTATTTACTTTTATTGATTATTTGCATATTTCCTAACAAAACATAATATTAGATTTTATTTAATAAGAAAAATCTAAGTGTTGAATTACTTGCATTAATTGTCATGGATGGTACAAATCTAGAAGCCTTTTTTTTTTTTTGGCAAAGATTGAAAAATTTGGAGTTGGAGACAAGTGCCATGCATATTATGGTTGTATAAAAAATTGGATGAGATTGGGCTTCAACTTAACTCAAAGTTTGATCACTTTTATTAAAAGAATTGGGTCAAGTAACCCATAGTTCGATTTAGTCCAATGATAACTTAAAAATTAATAAGATTAGATTTGGTCCATGAGATTAGAAAATTGATTCTGTTAATCCAGTATTCACTTGATATTTTTTTCCTTTTTCTCTATAAGAGACAATAATCCATTTCAACCTAATAAACTCAACTGAGATAATAAAAATACTTATAATCATAATAATTTTTAACAATAAAAAAATCAGTTATAGTTCAAGTGGTCTGAATTATTAAATTATTAGTAATCTTAATTTATTATTATAAATGATTAGTAAATGAATTATATTAAATAAATTTAATAAAAGTAAATTGAATTAAGTGATTTCAGATGACCAGTTTTCTATTCATTTGAATACAAAAAAATAGTTTAATCTTTTTAATTTTTTTAATTTTAAAGGATCAGGACCTTTTTTAATTAAACTGCATCGAACACTTCTACGCGCCCCTAATTTACACACAAACTAATGGAAGTTCTGACATGTTTCCCAAGCAATTTGAAAGGAAAGCACTTGAGATTTGTGACTTTTCGGAGCTTAAAGTACTGGGAAAGGAGAAATGAGAGAAGAAAGTATGCCTCATGCAGGAAAAATCGCCGACATGGCATCGGGGAATGCAAATAGAAAAATAAATTAAAATACAAATTAATAATAAATTGTAGCAGTCATTCAATGCCTGATGCCTTTTATTCCCATTTTACTGGTTATTAGAAAGGGCTGGGAAAGAATTAACGTGAACAAATCAAATTAAAAATGAGTTAAATTATTCTTTCATTTTATGATAAATATGATAAAATTAATTTATATTATATTAATTTATTTTAAATTTCTCTCACAGTATCACTTTTTTATCTTCTTTTCTTATTGTAAAGATTAAAATATTGATAAATATTAGTATCAAGACCTCATGCAATTTTAGACCATCAAGGTGACATGTTTAAACTTTATTAAATGATTTTTTATAATTTATATAGTTATTATTGGTTTTTGACAGTAATTATTGATACTATTAGTCTCAATTAAGTATTTTTTTAATTAAAAGCGTACTATCACCTCCATACCATTGTTAATATTTACATTCTATCTCAATATATAATATGGAGTATGGGCACCTTATCAATACTAATTTTCATGTTATTATTAAGTTAATTCAGAATTTTATTAAAATTACTATATTATAAAATTTTAATATATGATTTTGTAAAAAGTGATGACTGTATTTTTTTTTAAAGGCAATTACACATACCAGGTTGTATTGATAATTTTACCTTAGGTCTCAAAATTTCTTCACACAGTCCTAAACTAATTACCCTTCTTCCTTATGAATAGGGGTGTTCACAGAAAAGGTGTCTCATCTTGAAAATCACTGAGGTTAAACTTTTGTCTCGTATCCCATCTTATCTTGAAAGTTATCCTGTCAAAAATCAGGATAGTATCGATAAAGCGAATAATATGAGAGAAATGTTTGGATAATAATATTTATTAATTAAAATTTTAAATCATATAACTTATTAAGTTTAAACTAAAATAATATAAATACATAAATCACAACATTTATTGAATTACATCAATTAAAACCACAAATATATAACTTAAAGTTATATATATGTGAGACATAACGCATTATGATAACAATTACAAATGATCTTTAAGTTATATGAGCAACAATAACATACAAGCTCAGCACAATATTAAGTTATTGTTTTTCTTCTTTGGTTGAAATATGTCAAGCTATTAACTTTTTTGAAAATAAAACAAAAAATAATGATATAAATAAAGTTATTAAATAGACAGATATAATAATAAATTATATTAATATAATTAATATATTATAAATAAAGATACAACCATGTCTTGCTTACTCTGTGTTATTAAAATTATTAATATAAAAAAATTTTAGTTTTAAATAATTAATAGCATATATTGAAATTATAATTAATCTAAGTATAAATTATATTAATAAAATTAATATATTTAATGTATATTTTTAAAATAAAAAATAATACATATGTATATATATCTGTATAATATTCAGGACAAGATAAGATGTCTCGAGAATAATTCCGTGTCCCATTCCATCCTAAACTCCTTTCTCATCTATTTTGATTATTTTTTAAGTTAAGACAAGACCTGTCTTAATATGATTAGAATAAAATTAAATTTATTAGAATAAATACAACTTGAACGCCTCTGCTTATGAATGTAGTTTTTTTATTCCTTTTGATTATTTTACTTGTTATCTTTATTTTTTTATTCAGTTATATTATAATCTTTTTCTGGTAATCAAAGGAGACCTTACATATTTATTTAATAAATGAACACTGAAAATACACGCGTCCAAACTTCTCTTTAAGTTGGGAGGGATGGGGGCCGCGTGTTCGAAAGTGGCGTCCTGACTAAAATTATCAAACTCACATGTTTCAATACATTCATAATAAGCATGCAAACTCAAATAGTAAATTCGGAGATGACTTTACTTTTATTAATATATAATTATTAAATTAAAATATAAAATATCATCGTAATTTAATTTAAAAATATTTTAAATATAAATTATTAAATTTAAATTTATTCATATTGATAGATTATAATACTCAACATAAAAAATTAAAATAAAGCAACTTATTTTTATTATTTTTTATTAATATTAATTTTTACCTTTTGAGTCTTATTTTTCTTTACATTGTGTCATATGACTTATATGAAATGGGCTTTACACAGTATATACCTAATTTACTTAACTCAATTAAAAATTGATAAGTTTAACAGATTGCATTTAGTTTGAATTTATGAGTAAGTTGACACAATTTTTTAAACTAAAAACTTAAAAACAATAAATTATGAGAGTCAACTTGCAAGTTTAATCAAGGTTCATCTAATCTAAATTTATAAATAAGTTAATATAATTTTTTAAGTTATAAACATAAAAATAATAAATTTAGAGTATCAACTCTAATACTGACGTTGATTTTCATATAAAACAACTCCACCCATCTGTTTTCATGGATGAAATGGAAAATAAAAATTAAATTCTGAATTTAAAATGTGAGTTTTTTAAAAAAATTTGTCAAACAAAATGAAAACTACATTTAATATATTAAAATGTTGATTATATTGTTAAATTTTCTATTAATTCAATGCACTAAAATACATTGCTTATATAAACAAGACTGTGATGGAAAAAAATGTTAATAAATGCTACTTCAAACTTTCAAAAAAAAAATCTACTAAAAATACTTATATTAAAAAATAGAGAGAGGCATTTTATTTTTTTGGGAAGTGAGAGATCTCTGCACTCATTTTTTGAGAAGTTAGATAATTTAATTCAAAAATTAGTTTAAATATTTAAGGAGTGTTAAATTCATTTCATTAAAATGTTTAAAGATAGTTTACTTCATTAATATAGGTTAAGTTATTTGGTTAAACATATTCAACAATTTATATATATATATATATATATATTTAATATCTATCTTCTAATTTATAGAGATTGGATTTCTTTCATCCCCATTGAGGAGGAGCTACATTAAAAAGGAAGAGTATGAATTCCCTCCTTTGCAAGTCTCACGGCAACCGTGACCACTAAAATGAGGAAACCCTTGCATATCTTTATTGAATACCTGAGTAAGTATTTCAACAATACTATTTACACATGTGGAAAGTAAAAACCACTCCAACTAAATTCTGTTAAATAACCATTGATCAGTTACAAACCAAT